ACTTCTCCTGGGGCCGTTCCACCGCTTCTGCCGGAAGTTCGTGCCTTTTCGCCGGAGTTCTCACCAGCGGGTGGGTCCTCCCGCTTCAGCGCTGCTAGTTACACGGGGTGCCCGGGGGCTCAGTTCCTCGTCCCCTCTCCGGCTCGTACCCCACCCCCCAGGGCTCCAGCTGACAAGCCCCACATCCAACCTCCTCCTGGGGGATGGAAACCACACGGAGGCCAGGCTGCGACAGAACCTGGCTCAGGGGAAGGGCGGGGCCGGGGGTGGGGTAGACTCGTTCAGGACAACTTTCCCCCGGGGCCCCCGGGGGGCACTCAGTCGATGAAGCTTCTGACTCTTCATTTCAAATCAGGTCATGATCTCACAGTTCATGACACTGAGCCCTGCTTTAGGCTCTGTGCTGACAGTATGGAGCCTGCTTGGGATTCTCAATCTCTCTCATACACACACACACACACACACACACACACACACACACACACACGATAAACCTTTTAAAAAAAGAATTGTTCCCTTTTATAAAGAGAACGTTAGTCATTCCCCACACTGACCGGACGAATCATTTCCTTCTGTTGTGTGCGCACAAGGAAGCCGTGCTGGCCGCTGGGAGCCGAACTGATGGGGAAAGAGTCTATCTTTTAAAAATAAACTCAGCCCCTGGTTGGTCCCCTTGAAACTGACTTGAGGGCTGACATGACCAGCGGCCCAGGAGCAGCCTCCGTGGCGCTCTGTGACTGTCCCAGCACGGTCCTGCGGCGTGGGCGTGAGGCCGGAATAGTGCCAGGGCCCTGGAGACCCAAGGGGGGGCGGCGAGGGTCGGAAACACCGCATGACACTTGCTTTCGATGGCCGGCGAGCACCTTCACTTGAAAAGTACAGGAGTTGGGGCCACACGGGGCAGGGGCAGTGCTGGGGTGAGGGCGGGGGTCTGCTACCGGCCTCTGGAGGTCAGGGGTCTGCTCCTTGTCCCCTGGGGCTGAGCCATGTCTAGCCAAGAAGCTGAGAATAAACCTGGAACGTCGTGCCTGCGGCGCAGCCCCTTCCCTGCACCTCTGCCCGCACTCTCCGCTGCCCTTAGCGGTGATGCCGGTCCTGGGGAGGGAGGATCCTACAAACTGGTCCCCAGGCTCCCTCGGGGCTGTGGGAAGAGGAGGAGGGGCCGACGGTCCGTCCTTGAAGGGGGGAGAAAGAAATGAGTGTCCTCCCCCAGGACTCCCACTCTCAGGGAAGGTGAGGACACAGGGTCAAAGCCAGGTCCCCAGCGGGTATAGCAGACGTCTTACACGGGGTTCCTGGGCCTCAGTGTCCACGCCCACAGGGGGATAATAATCACCACTGGCAGAGATAACCAGGGCATTTCCTGGCGGCTTGGTCCCTGCAGTCACAGGTGAGGCCATCGGTTCTCGCTGCCATCCTTGGGGCCCCGCTCTGATGGCCAAGGGCTGGGAAGGCCACCTGCCCCCTCACAGGCAGTAAACAGGAGGCTCATCCCCCCCAGGAAATCAGAACAAGAGAACACAACGGAAAGCAGCCCAGTCTGACCCCACCCCCCGTCAAGGCCACTGGAGAACTTCGAGAGGGGCTGCTGGGTGGAACCCCTCGGTGGCCCTCACGTGAATACCGCAGGGGGCTGGGACCCCCCAGAGACTGACTCAGCAGAGCTAGCTGGTGTGGTGTGCATGCACGTGCACATGAGCACACGCAGCAGAACCCGCAGTTCTGACGAGTCCCCCCCCCCCCCACCATGTGATACCAGCCACTGGCGAGGCTGGGCGGCTGAGCTGAGCCTCCTCTCTGTGCTCCCGCCCAGCGCACAGGGACGAGAAGTGCTCACACGCACGGAGGACTTAGCCCTCAGGACAGGAGGTGGGGAGATCGACCGTTGTGTGCTCTCACCTGAACGTCCTCTGCACCCACAAAATCAGCGCCTGGGAAGCCAGGGCCTGGGGTCTGCCCCTGCCCATCCCAGCCCAAGTCGCTCACTCCCCCTACAAATCCTAAGGAGCTCCCAGCAGTGACAGAGCCTCCCTGTCTCAAATTCACACGGTTCACTCCAGCGACAAGACTCCAAGACAAATCAAGCTGTGACCCAGGACCCCGGTGGCTCTGTCAGCTGAGCATCCGGCTTCTGCTCAGGCCATGATCTCATGGCTCATGGGTTCGAGCCCTGCATCAGGCTCTGTGCTGACAGCTCAGCACCTGACAGCTCAGCTTCACATTCTGTGTCTCCCTCTCTCTCTGACCCTCCCCTGCTTACGTTTTCTTCCCCTCAAAAATAAAAAATAAACATTAAAAAAAAAAAAAAAAGCTGCAGGCCAGAAAGTAATTCAGGCAAAAGGAATGCAATCTTCAGATCCAATACAGAACATCCAGTTAAATGTGTACTTTAAATAGTACAGATAAGAATACTTTATTTGTACTTTAAAGGATAATTTTGAACGTAAGTATATCCCACACGATATTTGAGACATCCTTGTACTGCAAAATTACTCATTTTTATCTGAAATTCAAATTTAACTATCATTCTTTATTTCTTTATTTTTTATTTTAGAGAGAGAACACATGTGAGAGGCACAGAGAGAATCTTTTCTTAAGTTTACTTATTTATTTTTTTGGGGGGGAGAGCAGGAGAAGGGCATAGAGGGGGGAGAGAGAATCCTAAGCAGGCTCCTGACTGTCACTGCGGAGCCCGATGCAGGGCTCCGTCACAAACCGTGAGATCATGACCTGAGCCAAAATCAAGAGTCAGACACGCAACCAACTGAGCCCCCAGGTGCCCCTGTTTTTATATATGAAATCTGGCGACCCCACAGAGAAGGCAACACCACCCTGAGCAATCAGGAGTGACCAGCAGCTGAGCCTGGCATCTCAGGGCTCCCCTCCTCCCCTGGGCCAGGCTTAGTCCCGTGGGTGACGTGATGGGGACGGTAGCAGTACCAGGACAGGATGCCGTGATGATCCCTGGAGCTGACCGCAGAGCCATGCACAGTGAGCAGGACAAAAGCGTCCTTGGGGTCATCGCGGCGGTGATGCCCACTTGGGGAATCAGACTTTCTTTCCAAAAGCCCATGACTGGCCCTGTGGGCCAGGCGCCAAGGGAACAGGAAGTGTGTCCATGTGGTTCCCGCCTGCAGGGTTCTGAGACAGGAGCCCGGGTCTGAGTCCAAACAGTGGGTGGGAGACGCCCCCTAGAGGTGTGATGCGTGGGCTGCAAGCCACAGCTGGCACAGAACAGGACACCTCGGTCACCTTGGCTGGTGGCCCCTGGGGCCCTTGGGCACCTCACACCTCTGAGGTCCCTCCGCCCGGGAAGTGGGATGATGTTGCTGTCCTCTATGCCCAGATGTCAGGAGGAGGCCCGAGAGGCCCCAGGTAGAGCAGGTAGATATGAGCGAGTGGGGACTGTGCTTTCTGCATCAGCGTATTCCTCCAGCGCCTCAAGTGTGAGCTCCAGTGTGAGCATGAGAGGGGCCAGGGCCAGCCAAGCTGGGGTGGCATTCCACTTCTGTCCCAGAGACCCAGTCAGAGGGGAGGACAGTGCGCCCAAGGGAGGGTGGGCACACAAGGGTGTGTTTGACCGAAGCCTTCCAAGCCCCTTCCTCTGAACCCAGCTCTCCTGACTAAGAGCCAGGGGTCCCCTTGGGGGCAGAAGATAGGTATTCGTTTACGAGTGACAGTCCCTGCTTTCCAGACACCAGCTTCCCGGGCGAGAAACTCTACGTGGCAGAACCCAGCGCCGGCCTTGGGAATGGGTCACAGCAGCCAAATCCATGCAAGACTGATGTGTAAGCCGACGGCTTGTGTGTTCACTGACCGCGGAGAAGTCCTTTTCCGGGGCCTAGATGTTCCCACCTGGGGTCCGAGGCCCCTGCTGGGACTAAGACACTGGGAGGCCAGCTGTGTCTTCTAAGACATGGGACGTGGGCAACACGAGCGGCCGGGGCCGCGGGGGCCGTTCACCCCCGTGACCAAGAAAGTGAGTTGGTCAGTTGGCCATCGGGTCCACAAAAATGGTCACTGTGCACGTGCTCTGTGCTGGACCAGCCCCGGTCGCTGGATCTGACTGATAACCTGGCAGGGAAGGCCGACGGTGGAAAGTTGTCGTCAGTGGTTTGCAACGACACGGAGGCAGAGGGCAGCACAGGGCCGCCGCGGGGCAGGACGGCGGGGACGGGGCCCATAGTCAGGCTGCGAAGCCTCGCCACGGTGCCCTGGCCAAGGACTGAGTGAGGAAGTGACCTCCAGAAGCCACCACCCATGACCCACCTCCCCCCACCCCAGCCAGCCACGCCTGACCCGCGCTGGTCCCCCTGGACCCTCAACTTGCCTCCCCCTTGCCAGCCACCTTCTAGCACCCAAGGCCACACATGCCTCTCCCTCCACCCTTGGCCTGTTCCCCCATGTCCGAGGTTGCCACCCCAGGGGCCTCTCCCGACCCCCGGACAAGACGGCTACATCCCCCCGGGGCCACTGGGGACCGGTATCGCCGCAGCCCCCTTCACAGGCAGGGAGCTGAGCCCGGAGCTGGCCGGGCGGGCCCCGGGGGGTGGTGACCAGAGTCTGCACCGACCAAAGGGCAGCGCTCAGCAACGTGGCGTCAACAGTCACCTGCGAGGCCTGAGCGCGCGTCCGGGGCGGCCCAGGTCTGGGACTCGGAGCGGACGGCGGGCGGGGCACCCAGCCTTCATCAGTACCCCGAGGCACGCGCCGTTGTTGGTCCCGTTGCACCGAGGGGGAAAGTGAGGCCTAAAGACGCTTGGCGCCTCGCCCGGGAGGGGCCCCCAGAGTCGACACCTGGAGGGCGGGGAGGAGCGCTCTCCGCAGCAGGTCCGCGGCCCCGCCCCGCGGTGGGCGGGGCCTGGGAGGAGGCGGGGCGCGGCCCGCGGGGCGGGGCGGGGCGGAGACGGCGGCCCTGACTGGGCGGCCCGGCCTGGCCCCGCCCCCTCCGGGGTGGCCCCCACCGAGGCCCGCGGTCAAGGCCAGGTCCAGCCGGGGCGGTGGGAAGGCGCAGGGAGCCCACGCCGGCAGGCGCTGTCAGGGGCCCGCTCTTCTTCCCAGGCGCCTCAGACGGGGCCGTGCTGCTGGCAGCCCCGCCCCGCAGAGCGCACAGCTCCGAGGGGCCTCACCCCGAGCCGCGCCGCGGGCGCCGCAACCTCTCCCCCGAGCTTCCGCAGCCCGCTCGCGCCGACCGCGCTGCGCCGCGGGGCCGGGCCGCCAGGCGGAGCCCCGGGGTCCGACCGCCAGGGGGAGCCGCGGGGCCCCACCCTCCGCTGCGCCTGCGCCGGCGCCGCGCACGAGCCGGAGCCGGAGCCCGAGCCCGCCGCGCGCGCGCGCGCGCGCGCCCGCCCCGCAAGTGCGCCTGCGCGGAGGTCGTGGCCGCGCCCGCTCCCGCCGGGGGCTCGTCGCTGGGCGGCCGGGCCATGGGGGAGGCCGAGGTGGGCGGTGGCGGCGCGCCGGGCGACAAGGGGCCAGGGGAGGCGGCCACCAGTCCGGCTGAGGAGACGGTGGTGTGGAGCCCTGAGGTGGAGGTGTGTCTCTTCCACGCCATGCTGGGCCACAAGCCGGTCGGTGAGTGGAACGCCGCCGAGGCCGCGGACCCGCGTGGGGGCGGGGCGGGCCGGGCAACGGCTGGGGGCGCGGGGCGGGGCCTCCCAAGCCGCCCACCCACCTGCACCTCCTCCTTCCCCTGCTCCCGGCGACCCCTCCGCCCCCCCCACCCCCCCCCGCTGACGCTACCCCCTCCTGCATTCCTCCCCTGCGCCCCTCCGCCTTCCTGTACCTTCCCCTGTACCCTCCCTCTGGGCCCTCCTACACCCCTGTACCCTCCCTCTGGCCCCCGCTGCACCCTCCCTCTGGCCCCTCCTACACCCCTGTATCCTCCCTCTGGCCCCTGCTGCACCCCTGTGCCCTCCCTCTGGCCCCTGCTGCACCCTGTACCCTCCCTCTGGCCCCTGCTGCACCCCTGCACCCTCTCTCTGGCCCCTCCTGCCCCTCCTATATCCTCCCTCTGGCCCCTGCTGCGCCCCTCTTCCACCCTGCCCCCCCATAGCCTCCCTTTGCACCTCCTACACTGACCTTCCTGCTCCCATTCTTACTCCTCCTCTGCTGACCCCAGCCTCTACCTCCCCCACTGCGTCCCACCTCTCCCCTCCTCACAGGTGACTCTTTCCACCCACAGGTGTCAATCGGCACTTCCACATGATCTGTATCCGGGACAAGTTCAGCCAGAACATCGGCCGGCAGGTCCCATCCAAGGTCATCTGGGACCACCTGAGCACCATGTACGACATGCAGGCACTGGTAAGCTGGGTCCCACCCTCTCCAGTCCTCAGGCCAGGGCTCCCCTTCCCCCACACAGAGCCCCGGGCAGGCTAACTAGGAAACCAGGCCGGCCAGAGGACACGGTGGGCATTCCCCGCAGACCAGCAGCAGGCGTCAGGGCCCTGTGGCAGCAGGGGATAGTGGGTCAAGCAGCTGAGGAAGTAGTGCAGGCCCCTGCAGAGTTGGGGGGGTGGCAGTGGGAGCCACAGGCAAGCAGAGGGGTAGGAGGAACTTGTGCCAGGGCAGGGGTGAGGCTCTGTCCCTCCCTCCTCCCTCCCCCCTCCCCCCTCCCCCCCGGCTGACTTAGGGCCACACTGGCCTTCCCAGCTGGGGCCTTCCTTGTCCACATCTACCCTTGCCTCCTGCGGGTTTGGGCAGGTGGTTTGCAGCTCCTTGTTTTACTCAAGAAAGCAGATAAGGGCAACAGCTGCGCTCTGGGGACTGACTGACCGGCCTGCAGGATGCACTCAGCTCATCAAGGATTGGCTGTCATCCCGAAGGGGCCTCACCCCCACACCCGTTACCTTGTGGGGTCACCTGGTCCCCAGACTTCCCATCCCGTGACTCCAGGCCGGTAGAGGCTGGAAGCAAGACACAGACCCGAGGGTGGCAGGGTCCCTGTCCCACTGCAGCCAGGGACACAGACACAGCTGGCACCAGGCCCTCGCTGCACTTGGGAGCTGCAAGGCGCCGCTCAGAGGTTCTAGTCCAGGGCAAGCAGCCCCTCGCCCCTCTGCTGGAACTTCTGTCTGCCCTGTTGCTTGTGTGCGACCAGGCACGACCTCGAGGTCGTCACTCCTTAGCCCCCAGTGCCCCCACGGAGCTGATGCCAGAGTCCCCTGGGACCCTGGCAACGTGCGTCTGTGGCTTCCACCACAGGGGTTACCAGGAGCCGCGGGGTTTCCGAACCCCAGGAGCCCCGAGCACATCTGCGAGCTGAGCTGAGCTGTACCACGGCCTGCGAGGCCTGTGAGGCACAGAGAGGAGGCCTGCCCGCTGAGCCCCTCCCTGTGCAGAGGCCTGCCACCAGCTCACCGTCCCCCCCCCCCCGGTGGTCCTGTGCCTCCAGGGTCGCTGTCCCTCCTAGCACACGGGGCCCGTGTGACAAGTGGGACTCTGAGAAGCAGTGTCCCTGACACCGCTGTGTTGTCTTACCTGGCTTCTAAGGCAGTAGCTTCCCTGTCCCGCACCCTCCATGTCTGCGAGCTCCACTGTCATTGTCCCCTGAACATACTCTTGTGGGGAGGGAGCCGAGCCAGGTGGGCAGGACAGATCAGCAGGAGGGCTGTGGCCTGCTTTTGCCCGAGGGGGGGGGATGGTGCAGCCTCAGCTCAGATGACGACCCCTGGTGGCTGGAGCCGGAGCCATGCCTTCTGCAGGCCTGTTAGAGATGCCCAGCCCCGGGCAGACTGCGGCAGAGACAGGGAGCTGTCCTCACCCCCTGGGTGCCGTCGCCCCAGCTCTCCGAGACCGCTCCGTGCCCTGCTCTGGTGCCCCTCAGTCGGTTCTTACGGGTTTTTGGTGACTTGCTAAAATGACATTTTTTTCTTTGTTTCTTTAAACAAATCGCCCTGTCTGCCATCAGCACGAATCTGAGATTCTTCCATTTCCAAATCCAGAGAGGAACTTTGTCCTTCCGGAAGAAATCATTCACGAAGTCAGAGAAGGTGAGGCTCAGGCGGGGCGTGGGCCCAGGGCGGGGGAGGAGTGAGGGCTGCTGGCCGGTGCTCCGCGGGCCAGGTGGACGGAGGGGAGGGTGGGGGGGTGTTGAGGGGGTGTCTGGTGGGCCTTGGGGCCTGGCGGGAACTTGTTCAAGAACAATGGGCTCTCTTTAAAAGCGGCCTGGCGGCAGCTGAGAACCACACACACAGCCGTCGCCGGCCTGAGCCATCCGCAGCGCTGGGCGGGGCCGCGTCTCCCACCGTTGTGGTAAACGTCAGCTGTCGCCCCACAGGAAAAGTGGTCATTGAAGAGGAAATGAAGGAAGAAATGAAGGAAGATGTGGATCCCCACAACGGGGCAGACGATGGTGAGTGGGGAGCACCCCCGACCCTGCCCTGGGCCCCAGGAGCGGCCCCGCCTGCGTGTCAGGCCCCCTTGGGCCACAGCCGCCCTGGCAGGTCTTTCACCTGCTTGGGCAGGAGCCCGGGGCAAGGCTGGCGTCGTGCGTGGCCCACACTGCGAGCGGGCCCCACGGCGGCCTGGGGCTCTGGCACCGGGCAGGGGACGGACGCTGTGGGGTGCGGGGCGTGCAGGGCAAGGGGGCCGGCCAGCAGGGGACAGGCTCCGCGAGGCAGGGACGGGGGACGGGCGGGTCCTCAGGAGGACTCAGCTGTCTGCAGGCCCCACGGCAGCCCCGGCTGAGGGTATCGTATGTGTAGGTGCAGCTTTTCATAACTGAGCAGGAAGATGAAATAAAATTCTGGGTATTCTGTTTTCAGCCAAATGATTTTGTCTCCCAGTTTTTTCGTCTTCAGGAAGCTTGGGGAAAGCAACGGAAAAGTCCAGCAAAGACAAGAACCCCTCAGACTTGGGGTCCAAGGAAGGGGCGGACAAGCGGAAGCGCAGCCGGGTCACCGACAAGGTCCTGACGGCCAACAGCAACCCCTCCAGCCCCAGTGCTGCCAAGCGGCGCCGGACGTAGACGTGGCTCAGCCTGGGGTGGGGGGTGGGGGGTGGGGGCGGCGGCGGCGGCGGCGGCGGCCACTGGCCAGATGCTACCCGCCCCCCGCCCGCCACCCTGCCTCAGGCACCTGCGGCCCCCACAGGGCCGACCGCCACCACCTCCGGAGGCCCCCAGGGACCAGGGCCGCAGCTCAGGTGCGGAGAGCTGGGAGCCAGGCGTCCTTTCTGCGCCCCCGCGCCGTCGGGCCAGCTCCGTCTGCGCCGGTGTGCGGGCCGCGCTGCGGTCCAGGCTCCGCGGAGCCGGGCGAGGGGCACGGACGAGGCCTGCACTGGCGGGCAGGAAGCCCGTCTCGCTGTGCCCTTGAGGAGCGCGCTGCCCGTTTGTCCGTCTGTCCATCTGTTGGCCGCTCTTCCCGAGCTGGCTGCCACGTCGGGAGAGAAGAACTCAGGCCACCGTGTGGCAGACCGGCCCCCCGCCTGAGAAACGGAACTGGACGTCGGGCCTCATTCGCTTGTGCTGTAACGATGTATAGAACCGGGCGGTGGTTCACTATTTAATTTTTAAGAAGCCTATTTTACTAGTGTTTTATATGCAAACCACACTGCAGAAGCGAAACTTGCGTTGTATTTTTCCTGAGATGTTTTGTGTTAAGGTCACAACTACTGAGACACTTTTCGCTCAGTTTTTATATGCCAGAAACAGGATTTGTAGCGGCTATTTTTGTATCATCAGGTAACTTGCAAACAGACCAAATGAGTGAGTGGAGGGAAGGGGCCCGGGGCCCAGGGTTGCCTGAAATTCTGTCGTTTGAGTGCGGAATATTAAAGCACAGAGCAGCAGCCTGGAGTCTTGTGGTTTCGACGCCAATATGAGGGCCCTTTTCTTACATAGAAAGTGTTGATTTTTCCAAGGTCTATAACCGCAGCCTACGCTCCACAGGCTCAGCAGCATTCCTTCGATACAATGTATTGACGACCAGAAATCAGCCAAGCGGAAACTTTGTTGAGTGTGACAAGTCCTCCAAATATAAAATGCCGGGACAGCGGACAAGCGGGGCCTGTGGCTGGCTGAGCACGGACGGCTGCGAGCTCGTCCTCCGGCCGCGCGGGACTCGGGGCCCAGTCTCTTCTCGGCGGAGGAGGGTCCCACCTCCGCGCCACAGGTCCTTCATCTGGACAAGTCCCCGGGAAGCTGGATATCCCCCCTCCATCTCGGAGCAGGACAGGGGGGCGCGGGGCCCACCAGGCGAGGGCGGGAACCTGGTGCCCCATGCGGCCGCCCGGCGGGGACTGGATGCTGGCCTGTGCCATGTCGCTGCCAGCCCTCCTTCAGTGCCCGCTCTGCACCGGCTTCTGTCGCTGGGACCCTGCTGCCTGAGACAGCACGGGTTTGCCTAGTTCCTGGAGAGTCAGAGCCGGCAGAGGCGTGGGGCAAACGTCCACAAAGATGGGGGTCTTTCCCCTTCTGATGTAGACCCCGATCTGGAGCAGTATCTTCAGGGACCTCAGAACATGCTGGAAAAGTCTAGTCAAGAAATCAAACCTGTCTCATGATGACTGAACATTTGCTGCCCTCCCAGGAGGCATGGGGGGAGGGGCGTGGGGGTCCAGCCTAGCAAGGTAGATGGCCCCCACCCCAGGGGCCCGTTTGGGGCCACACCCCATGCCTTGTGCCTGTGGGGGCCGCAGCCCCGAGCAGGGGTGAGGCTCACGGGATCTCAGCCTCCCTGCACTGGGTCCGGTTCCTGTGTGCTGCTGGCGGTCTGTACAGGTGAAATTCACAGGCCCCCGGGGCCCTTTGCCTTCCTGGCCTAGGGGTCCACTCTGTGACATGGGAGTACTGCTCGGCCCCCACCACACAGGCACGCGGTGTCTGACAGAGGACGGGCGCTGAGGAGAGGCTGACGTGTGGGCGCCTGCAGGACACAGGCACCCCTGACCTCAGACAGAAACCCGGACGTTCCTGGTGCTGAGGACACCGGGACTTGGGGAGGCGCAGCCTCTGCCTGGGTGGGGACAGCCCTCCCCGCTCTAGCCCAGCCCAGGCCCCCCAGGGCTGACGAAGGAGAGTGGGCTCCCAGGCACCTACAAATTGGGCAGCGACAGGGCGCAGCGGAGCTCCCTCAGGGCTGGGTGGGTGGGATGGGATTTGGGCCAAATAACCTGGCTGCAGCTGGTTTCGCCTGAAGGAAACGTGAAGGCAGGTCTAACCTGAGCCTGCCTCTGCCCAGCTCCCGCAAGGCTCCTCAGCCAGAACAAGGCCACCCTGGGGCCCACCACCTGCTGCTAGTGCCCGGAGGAGGGGCAGGAGCGTGTGGGCTGCGGTCGCTCCTCTGGGACCTGCCTCAGCCCCCCTGATCCAGCCCCCACCCGCCCAAGCCCCCGCCCAGCCCCCCTTGCCTGGGCCCCACCCCCACCCCGTCCAGCCGCATCCAGTCCCCCCTACATCCCCCAGCCTGGGCAGCAAGCTGTCCAGAGCCCTGAGCCCACGGTGGGCGTCCCCCGGGTGCAGAGGGGTGGAAATGGTCTCCAGCACAAGACGGGCTCCGGCTGCTTCTGCGGCGGAATCTGGGCTCCCGGGTTAATACGCCCTGAGCAGCCCCACGCAAACTGCACAGAAGCAGCTACAGGTGCAGTCGGTGTGCCTCTTCCTTGTCGAGCAAAAGCCGGACAGCGTCTGAGAGCAGCTGTCCTGAGAGTGTCCGTCGTCCTGGCCCTGGCGGAAGGCAGCGGTGGGAGAGCTTGCCGCCTCGCCTGCAGAAGGGCACAGCCTCCCCGCCGCAGTGCCCCTCAGAGCAGCCAAACCCCTGCATCCCGTCCCCAACACATGGACACCTCCATCAGGGCTCGTGGTGTCGTCTACCCTATGTCCTCACCGGGGCCTCCAGGGCCAGGTACAAATCAGGCAAGTGGAAGGTCAGGCCCAGGGGGCAATCTGCCCCCCCGGCTGGCCCCCTCAGATGGGCAGCAGGCAGCCCAGGAACCCCACCCTGCCCATTGATGGCAGACCATTTGCAGAAATGCCCAGATGTCCATGGGGGGAGGGTCACCACCGTTTTTAGAAAGTGACATCGTATGTATACAGGTCCCAGCAGGTGAGGCTGTACCCAGAGAATTAATGAGGATGGACAAGCAGCCAGGAGTTAGGACCCCCGGCATCAAGAAGGGCCGTCAGCTGTGCCCACAGCCAGATCGGAAGGTTGTGCTCAGCGCTCAGCTGTCACTGGCCACTTGCAGGGCTGGGAGAGGTCAGCGTCCCCGGGGGGTGCTGGGCTTGGCTTCACCCTCTACCCCGTTAACCCTGGGGAGTTACCCCCGTGGCTAGATCCGTCAAAAGGCCAGAATTCAGTTTTAGCTAAGATATCGTGAAACAATGAAGTGGTATAGTAGTTACAGAGGGCAAATTCTACCTGGGGTGGCCACTCTTAAGTTGCATTTTGAGGGGTGGGTCCCCTACGTTGCTGGGACCCCCGTGGCCACCACAGATGTGAAGGCACAGATTAAGGGAAGGACCCGCAGTCACTGGGGAATTTGCAACTGCGGGTGATTCTCAGCTGTCTGACACGCGCCAATATGCGCGAAGAGGGCGGCCGCCACCAGCCACCCCCAGCCCCCAGAGAGGCCCCCGAGGGGATGTTTAACCAGGGCCACCTGTATTGAACAGCCTCAGGGTGACCCCCCAGTCACCCAGTCATTCATGCGTCCCCTCCCTCTAGGCAGCACCTTACCACTCACTGATGGGACGTGGCAAAGGGACCAGAGGTCAGGCGCGCAGCGACGGTGCAAAGGGTCTCTCCTACTGGCCTTACAGGAGCAAACTGCCGGGGTGCGAGCCGACTACGGGGGACACGCGGATCTCTGTCCTACCGCCCCGGGAGTGATTTCTGCCCACAGGCTGGGGCCGTGGAGGCAGACTCTTTCCAGAGGAGCCTCTCCTGAGACCGCAGCCCCAGCCTACAGCTGCTGGGCATCCGCCTGGGAGCGTCCTGGGCGCGCCCTCCAGGGAGGGCAGCTCCCGGGGCCACGCTCCCGGGGGTCATCCCTGTGGAGGCGCTCTCCTGCAGGCCTTCTCCAGAGGCTGGTAGACTTCCTCCAGAACCTTCTCTGGGACAAGGGATATTCTGGAGGAGGGGGCTTCCAGTAGGTGGGGGTCCTCCTCTGGGGCGGGTTGTCCTGGGGGGGGCATTCTGGGGTGATTCTCCGGGATGAGCATCCTCTGGGGACACACCTATACAGGGGGTATTTTGGGGGTGGGGGGTGCATTCTCCCAAGGGGCAGGGACACTGTGGGAGGATCCTGGGGGGCAGCCTGGGCGGGGAGCATCCTCCCCGGAGAAATCGCCGGGCGCGCACCCCGGGGGCAGTCCCAGCGAGGAGGGGGCAGGCGTCCTCCGGGGGGGGCGTTCCCGCGGAGGCGGGGCCCTTCCCCGGGCGGACGGCGCCGCTGGCCCCGCCCCCTGCGCCCGCCCCCGGCCCCGCCCCGCCCCGCCCCGCCCCGCCCCGCCCCCGCGCTTCCTCCTTCGCTCGCTTTCGCTTCCGCCCGAGCGCTGGTCCCGCCGCCGCCCGAGCATGGACGACCCGGACTGCGACTCGACCTGGGAGGAGGACGAGGAGGAAGACGGCGAGGACGCGAGCGCTGGCGGCGGCGAGAACGGCGAGGCCGGCGCCCCGGGGCACGCGGAGGGCGAGGGCGACGACGGAGAGGACGCGCTCCAGGTGCCGGTCCCGACGCGCGCCGGGGACCCCGCGCCCGGGCCCGGGGGTGCGCCCGCCCGGCCGCCGCGAGGTGGGGGTGAGGCCCCGCTCCGGGAAGGCCGCGCCCCCCCCCCCCCCCCCCCCCCCCCCCAGACCCGGCCTGGGGCTTGGCCCTCCCTCTCCAGCTGTTGCCCCCTCCCCGACCCACGCCCCCTCGCGTCCCCTCAAGGTCCCTGGACGCCGAGACGCAGCCCGTCCTGCGCTTCCCAGCTCCGGCCCAGCCGGGGGTACCTTGCGGGGGGATCCAGGGCCACCCTCAGACCCGTGTCGTGTGATGACACTTCCTGAAGAGCATACCCGGGGCACGTTCCGGACTCCTCTCTGTCACTCCCCGCCTCCGGCCCCTTGGCTCTGCTCTGAGTAGATCCCAGCCGTCTGTGCTGACCCCCTCCACTGCCTCTGGGTACCCCCTGCTTCTGCGCCCGGGGCTGCTCAGGGAGCCCCCCGCCCCCACCCCACCGCTCTTCGCTGGGTGAGCGCCCACCCTCTCGCGGGTGGCCTTGGAGACCACATTTCTGCGACTTGCCTGAGCCAGGGCTGCAGCTGGGTGACTTGTTAGCACCAGTTACTCTAGTTATGGCTGGTTATTTGTCATTACCAGCTGTTACTTTTGTTACTACTGATTAGCTAGGTGACCAGCTGTTACTTTTGTCTCCACTGGTGACACTCCTTGTTACTGTCAGTTACTCCTGTCGCCGCTGATTTTCTTCTCATGGCCACTGGTCACTGTGTCACTCGTGTTACTCCTTACCAGGGGCGGCCCCAGCTGGGGTTCCAGGAGTTATTGGGGCCTAGGTGACGTCTGTCACTTTTGGAGGATGATGTACTGGCATCGTGTCTCCGGGTCTTGAATTCCAGCCTGTGTGATCCTAGGTGGCCTTCCCCCCGGAACGGATGAGAGCTCTGGTTCGGGGCTTCTCTGTGTGGTTGGCGCAGTGGCCAGGGAGAGGGACCCGCAGGGGCGCCTGGGCCTGGGGGAGGCGGAGCGCCTCTGCGGCGTCAGAGGCAGGCGTGAGCTTCTGGAGGAAGCGGGCTGCACGGTGGCCACGGGAAGCACAGGCAGGTGCCCACTGCCTGGGGCCCTGACTGAGACAGAGGGTGCTGGCCCTGCTGTAGCTCCATGGGCCCCACTCCTATAGCCGCGCGCTGGCCCCAAGGCCACTCAGAGAGATGCCACAGTCGCTGACTTCTACGCTGGGCCCCAGGCCAGCCTTGTGGTGCTTTGTCCTGGGCTGTGTCGTCTGTGCACCCGTGGGGCTGAGCCGGGATGGTGGGCGGGCAGCCCCTGCTGAGTGTCTGTGTCTCTCTGGCCCTCAGCTGGGAGGCAAGGCCATGACCAGCAAGCCCTGGGCTCTGAGTTGGGCAGAGAGGCACCCCCAGACCCCTGCGGGAGCTCAGAGCCATTTGGAGCATGTTGGGGGGTGGGGAGGGGGTCAAGCCAAGGGACACAGTGCCAGGCCTGGCCTCCTGACTCCCCCTGCAGTGCTCTCTTGCTCCTTCCACGATCCTGGAGCCAGGTGTTTCCCCCGGGATGGGCTGTGCCCCGTAGAGCCAGGAGCCGAACCGCCTGGGCCCTTTCTCCCGGCTTCTGTCGGACCTCAGGCCAGGCTCAGCCTTGCTCATGCCTCTCACCCTACCAGAGGGAGGGCCAAGCCGCGTTTTCCCAGCATCCTGGCCGTCAGGTTACCTTCTATCCTTCCCAGGACCCCGGGGTGCTTGGCCTGCAGAGATCAGGGCTGCGGGTGTTGGGGGGCGGCGAGGAGCCTGTGGGCCCCCCTGAGCAGGCTCTCCCATGGGGTGCGAGGCCAGGAGACCCAGGGGCTGGTCGGCGAGCGTGGGGCAGGGGCCAGACTGGTTCCCCGGGCCTCTGTCATTCATTTCGTTGTCAGACAAGTGTCTGGGCCCTCCCCCCTCTCCCCTCTCCCCCCGGGGCTGTAGGCCGTGAGGCCACCGCCCTTCAGGACACGAGCCTGGGACAGAGCACTGTACAGAAAGAAAGCACTGGGGAAGGCAGTACCAGGCACGACCTGGGGCTGGGGTCCAAATGGACTTTGCTGGCAGATACCGGCAAGGAAGTAAGCTCGAGCGCGGGGGCAGGGCTGCGCCCCACGGTCGCGCCGGTCAGCCCGGGTCCTGGGAGCTAGGGTGGCAGAGGGGGCAGGCCTTGCTCCGCCCGTTCCGGCCCCTTCTGGGTTGTTGCCAGCTGACCCGCGCCCTTGGCTGCCCTTACCAGGACAGGGGCTTGCTTGGTAGGGGTGGGTCTCCCGAGGGGTCTCACCCGTCTCCTCTCTCCCCAGGCCAGGATGACGGGGTCCCGGAACTGGCGAGCCATGCGGGACACATGCAGGTACCGGCACCACTACCCGGTAGGTAGCCGCCCGTGGCGCCCGCACCCCCGCCTGGGACAGGCGCCCACCCTCCACCCAGAGAAGGCCATCGGGACAGCACCTCTCGTCAGCCCCTCTCCTCAGACGAGGTCCCACGGCCCCCCGGGACTGCGCTCCTTGCCCTAAGCAGGGGGTGACGAGGACAGCAGTCGCCTCTCTGAGCCTTGGTGCCCTTGCCTTTAAAGCGCGGGAGCAGCACCAGCTGGTGGCACACCCCGCGTGTCGGGGCCCGTGTCGGTGGCAGTCGTGCTGCCCTCTGCACTGAGTGTCAGGCTGCCCCTGGGCTACCCTGGGGACGCACGGAGGGGACCTGCCGCCCCGCCCACGCTGGCGAGGAGGGGACGGTGGTGGCCGAGGGAGCCGGTGCCCTGGCGCGGAGGCTGGTCCTCCCCTGCGGGCGAGGGGCCCAGCGGGGCGCTCGGGGTCTTCGCCAGCCTTCAGGGGTCCGGAGGCTCGCGGGCCCAAGAGCAGACGCCCTCCCCCCCAGGAACGTTCTAGTGTGAGGGGCCCTGGAGGCAGCCTGTTTCTGGAGATGTGTCGACTGGCAACTTTCTCTGGCTCTTCAGGACTTGGTAGAGCGGGACGGCAACGGCGACATGCCCAACCTGAGTTTCTACAGAAACGAGATCCGGTTCCTGCCCAACGGTGCGCGTCCGCGGGCCGCCGGCGGCGGGGGGCCGGCCCCGGTTCCCGCTTGCCCCGCAGCGCCCCCTGGAGGCTGCTGAGGGGACGCCCGGGAAGGGCCGAGCCCCTCCCCACTCAGGTCGGCTGCCTTAGTGGGAAAGCACAGACGTAAAGTGGCGACTCAGAGTAATTGTTACATCGCCAAATGGTCGGAAAAAACCCGGGGTGGGAAGTGTTCTGTGATGTGAAAATTACATGGAATTCAACTGTGAGCGGCCGTAAGGGAGGCTCCACTAGACCGCACCCACGCGCGTTTGTCCAGGCGTGGCGCCTCCCCTGCAGCGCAGCGGGAGCGCAGCGCGGGGCACGTGGCCTCGGAGCCACTGCCCGGCCCTCGGCACAGACGGGGCCGCCCTGCAGGAGGCCCGGCTGGGGGGGCGTCCGCTGGAGGTGTGTTGAGGTCGGGTTCCGGCGACCAGGCTGTGGTTGGGGCAGCGAGGCCCCCTTTCTGCAAAGACGGGGGGGGGGCCCTGTGCCCTTCCGGACCCTCCCAGCGTGGCCCTTCTCACCCGGGTCTGGGCTCAGTCCGCAACCCAGAGCCCGAGTCTGGACTGCAAAAGAACCGGGGGCTTCGGCTGGGGGGTTACGGTCACGTGACACGTACCCGCTTCGGAGCCCCGAGGTCCTCAAGAAAGGAGGGGAAGGAAGGGGGGTGCTTCTAGCAGCTCCTCACTGACTTGTCCCCACGGGGCCCCCCAGGCTGTTTCATTGAAGACATTCTTCAGAACTGGAGGGAGGACTACGATGTCTTGGAGGAGAATCACTCCTACATCCAGTGGTGAGTAGGTGGTGCTCCCTGGGCAGGCGCCCTCGGCGGGGCGGGGGTGGGGCGGTTGTACGCCGCCTCTGAGGCCGAAAGTGGGCGCGGGAAGCGGGAAGAGCAGCAGACAGGCGGCGAGCCGGGACAGAGCCCCTGGGACACTCACGGTGACAGGCTGAAGAGTGGCCTGAGGTGATCCTTGCCGGCATGGCTGCCTTGGAAAGCCTTGGCGTGTCCCCAGACAGTGTGCACTTGGAGACGGCCTGTCGGGGGCCTTTTCCCGGCCACAGAGCCCCGTGGGGAATAGTTGTGCGGCACTAACGACTAGACCCCAGAGCACCGGAGTGACGAGCAAGGCCTGGACCGCCCTGGGCAGTGGCTGCCAGAGCAGCCTCGCTGCCGGTCACGCCCCCCGAGGCCCCCCCCCCCCCCGTCGCGTGGGCACAGTCCTGTGCCCTGGCCCCTGACAGGTTCCCCGCAGCCTTCCCGCCCCTCCCCTTGGCTTTGCCTCGCGAGAGCCCCCCACACACGTTCACGCAGCCAGGCCCTCCCCGCGCGGAGCTGTGAAGCCGGAGAGGCTGCCGAGCCGCCCGGGACCTGTGACCCGTCCCCCACAGGCTGTTTCCTCTGCGTGAACCTGGAGTGAACTGGCACGCCAAGCCCCTCACGCTCCGGGAGGTGGAGGTGAGCCGGCCTCGCCCCGCCCCCGGGGGCTCCTCGCAGGCTTGGGGAAATCTGGCTTTCCGCGGCAGCTGGCCCAAGCCGGGGAGCCCCGGGCCAGGGCCGTGAGCGGAGCCGCCCCCGGGTGGGGCTGGCGCAGGACAGGCTTGGAGGAGCAGGGGGGTCTGGGCAGCCGGGGAGCCCCCGCGGTGCCCCCCGGGGGGCTAAGCTGGAGCCTCGGAGCCTCGGAGCCTCGGGCTGGATGAGGCCAGGCAGCAGCTTAGAGAGTTGCGTTATTAATTCTTCGGGCCCCTGCACCCTGGCGTTTCCCTCTGGAAGTAAGAGTCTAGCCCTTTAGAAGAGTCAGGCCCCGCGGGAGGTGTCAGCCCGACAGTCCGTGGTCACCCCCGCACTCCCCACTCCCGGTGTGTTCCAGGCGTTTAAAAGCTCCAGGGAGGTCAGGGAGCGCCTCGTCCAGGCCTACGAGCTCATGCTGGGCTTCTACGGGATCCAGCTGGAGGACCGGAGCACGGGTCAGCTGCGCCGGGCACACAACTACCAGACGCGCTTCCAGAACCTCAACCGGTGAGGACAGCCCCTCCCCCACCGCCACTGAGGCGGGTGCTGGGTGGGCAGGTGCGGGGGGAGCACTTTGGCGGAGAAGGAGGGACTCCAGGGACACTTGGGCAGGGGACTAAAGGCTCCAAGCACCCTCCGTGTTTGCAGGGTGGGGGCGGTCCCACCGGTGGGTTTCACTGCGAGCGGCGCCGCCTCCGCCAGGGTGTGGGCCAGGATGCCCGCCGGCTGCAGCCTCAGCTTGGCAGGCTCAGCCCTCCTCCCTGGCGTGCAGCCCCCGCTGGGGAGGAGGTAAAGGGGTAGATCCAGGGGGCCCAGGGGCGGCCCGCTTCTAGAAGATGCATCAGGATTCCCACCTGCAGGGCTCGGCACAAGCCGTTTTCTCCAGGACGGGGGCGGGGGGGTGGGGGGAGGAGGGTGGGCCCGGGCCGCACCGCCCCCTGCCCCCTCGCCAGCGCGCCCGCTTCCCGGCCGCAGGCACAGCCACAACAACCTCCGCATCACGCGCATCCTCAAGTCCCTGGGCGAGCTGGGCCTGGAGCGCTACCAGGCGCCGCTGGCGCGCTTCTTCCTGGAGGAGACGCTGGTGCGCCGCCAGCTGCAGGCCGTGCGCCAGAGCGCCCTGGACTACTTCGTGTTCAGCGTGCGCTGCCCGCGCCAGCGCCGCCAGCTGCTGCGCTTCGCCTGGGAGCACTTCCGGCCGCGCAGCGCGTTCGTGTGGGCGCCGCACGACAGGCTGCGGAGGCTGCGGGCGCCCCTGCCCGCGGGGGAGGAGCGCCCCGGGGCCGGCGGCGCGGCCGGGGACCAGGCACGGGCGGCGGGCGGCCGCGGGGAGGGGGGCCCGGAGCCCCCAAGCCCCAAGGAGAGCAAGAAGCGGAAGCTGGACGCCAACCGGCGGGAGCAGGCCCCGGGGGAGCCGGGCGCCCAGGGCGCCTCGGAGGTGGAGAAGATCGCCCTGAACCTGGAGGGCTGCGCCCTCAGCCAGGGCAGCCTGAGCGGGGACACCCAGGAATCGGGCAGCCAGGCCCCAGGGGAGGCCGAGCAGCCCTGCCCCCAGCCCCCGGGGACCAAGGTGGCCGAGGAGGTGAGGAAGAGAAGGAAGGTGGACCAGGGGCCCGGGAGCGGTGACTCGGTGGGTGCCGGGGGTGGGGCCGAGCCGCCGTCCCCCACCCAGCCCGTTGCCCTGCCGGGGTGCCCCGAGGCCAAAGAGAATGAGAATGGGGTCGAGGAGGCAGATGGTGGGGCCGAGCTAGCGCAGGGGACCTTGGTAGATAAGGAAGCAGAGGCGCCGCCTTAGGCCAAACCCCGAAAGCCTTAAGGGAGCGCGTGCCTGGGGAACCTGGCCTGGCCCTGCGGGGTGTCTGGGGCTCCAGCTTCTGCTGTGCTCAGCACGTGCAGGACTGGCCCGTCCCTCAAGGTCACTGCGGCCCTCAAGGTCACTGCGGCCGCAGAAGAAGTTCCCCTCTCCCGGAAGGCCAGGGACTTCCGAATCCTTACCTCCAGTTCACTTCCTGCCTCCCTCCGAGACAGACAGACAGACAGACACACACACACACACACACACACACTCCTTTGTAAATTGGCCCTCAAGGGTCTGGGGGGTGGGAATGGGGGCTCATTTTCTTAGTCTGGTGCCGAAGTCTTTTCTGAATAAACTCCTTTGACTTTGAAGTTTGGGCGTGGACAGCAGCCCTGGTTGTGGGCGGGGGAGGGCACTGCTCTCAGGAGCGCAGCGGTGGTGTCCCCAGGTGCCCCCCCCCACAAGTACCCTGACCACACAGCCTCCCGGGGCCTCTGGAGCCGGGCACTCGGTCCCTTGGCTGCCTTTTGTCACTAAGTCTGGGGGCCCACGCGCAGTCCCCTGGGTGGGCTGCGTGGAATGAGCAGCGGCTCGGCGTGCCCCAGGTGTAGACAGGGCTTTTGCCCACGCTGATGTGGGGCACGGTGTCGTGCCTCGGGGAGCAGGGTCAGCAGTGTTCTCTGTGGCTCCGTGCCCTCCGTCCCTCCCTGGCAGCCCCCCGCACCGAGCCTTCCCAGGACCTGGCATGAGCACAGCACACCTCCCGCTCCTCAAGGCGCGGCGGGGTCTCAGGCTGGGAACCCCCCTTCCCCCTTCCTGACACACTGGCCACTCTGCATCAACACCTGTGGGGTGAGGAGACTGCGGGCGGCCACATGCTTGCCTTGGAACAAATGAAGTGACGAAGGTCACAGCTCCCCTGGGGGCGGGAGGAGGAACACGGTTCACTCTGAGAGTCACCGGCTGCGGCTTGGGCTCCGTCCTCCCAAAAAGCACTGATGGTCAGCTCCCGTCTGGGTGGAAGGCTGCGCAAACTAGAAGTCATTTGGGAGGGACAGCCCCTGGGGTGGTGTCCCCAGGGCTGGAGTGGGGAGGGGTGTGTCCTAGGCAGCTAGCTCTCCTCCCCACCCTACCCCACCCCGGATCTGCTGGAAGGGGCAGGACCCCAGGGGCCTGAACTCCAGTTTGGCTCAGTGATGCAGTTCCCACCACAGAGGGGAAACTAAGGCACCAAGATGAGTGTGAGGCTTCAGCAGAGTCCCACTGACCTCGTAACGGTCAGAATCCTCAGTGTAGGTCAGTATGGAGCAAGGTTCCATGGGGAAGCTTGAACCCCAGAGTGGGAGGGAGGGAAATCTCACTGGAGCAGCTCTGGGGGAGAGTGTCCGTGCCCAGCAGGGCCTCTGACCCGCCAGAGAGTGATGGCCCGAGACATGGGTGATGCTTTGCTTCCGCCTGTGGCACCGGCGTGATGCCAGCCCCCGGCCCCTCCAGCCCCAGCCCCTCTGCCGCTGTTTGAGCATCATGGCAGGAGCAGTTCTGGGAGGGGCTGTGTGGAGCTGAAGATGGGTTGGGGGTGAAGGGTGGGGCCGGGTTTCAGGCACCGGGTCATGCCCTTGACCCAGGTGAACGCCAGCTGGGATTCCTCTGAGTCTGGTCTGCATGGCAGGGAGGTGGTGCTGTGCTGGGCCCAGGCAGGAGGGACTGAGTTGGGGGGTCGGTGGGCAAGAACAGTCTTGGTCCACAGGCCATGGGCTCGTGGGTGGGGAGTGGAGAGGCTGGCCCCCAAGCCCCACCCTGCTGTCTGAGGATGTCCTAGGGTGCCCCCAACTCTGCTGGAGGGCCAGGCCTTGTGAGCCACTCTTGGCCCTTCCGGATGGAATTCACAAGCACCTTCGCATCTCAAGGGGCAGCCAGCCCCCACCCCACCCCCACCCCACCCTCGTTGGCGGCTAGCTGAGATTCTTGACTCAGTATGGGGGAGGCCCCTGGGTGGGAGATGCTCCTGGCCGAGCAGGCCCTAGACTTTGCCATGAGACAGGGCAGTGGGGGGCCAGAGGCTTGGCCTGCCCCCCCCCCGGGCACAGGGGTGCTCACCCTCTCTGGGGGTCTTCCTGGGCTGTGGGCACCCTCTGTCGCACTCAGGATCCTGGGGAGGTCACCCTGTTCTAGGGCTGGGGCTGCCCCTGCTCGAAAGGAGCCCTTCAATACGGGACTATCCCCTCTCTATGCCCTGCTTGAGGCACAAGTGGTGAAAAGACCTTCTTTATTTTTTGCTAAAAGGTGTATGTGTGTAACTCATCAGTCTCGGGGATAATTTTAACTCCGAGGCTGGCCAAAAAATGCCATTGGGTCTTTTTTTTCCCCCTGGCCGCCACGGCCAGGAGGCGAGGGGCGGCGCGGAAGCCCCAGGTGGGCCCTGCTGAATGGGGGGCTTGTGCACTGGCGGCGGGGCGGGAATTGGCGCCCAGCCCACCGCCCGCCCCGCCCGCCTGCCGTCCGGAGCCCAGGCCGCCACCGGCCGCTGCCGCTGCTCAGAGCGCGACTGCAGCCATGGCCGGAGCCCCCACCCTGGCCCTGCTCCTGCTCGGGCAGCTCCTGGCCGTGACCGTCACCGAGGCGCAGGTGAGCGCGGGCTGGAGAGTGGCGGCCAGGGTGGAAGCCTGGGGCTCTGAGATGGGGCGTCAAGCAGCACAGCCAGGGGACACCCCTCCCCCCTCCTCCGGCCACCCTGGGCCAGTGCGGGAGCCAGGAACGCCGGGACGCTTGGGGACTGCCAGCGCAGCCTCGAAGCCCGTCGCCTACCTCACCACGGGGCAGAGTCTGGTCTGAGCCCTCACAGACACCGAGACACTTCGTGGACGAGCCCAGGAGGTCGCCCTGTCCTCGCCTGGCCTGGTCGGCTGCTGCCGCCACCAGACAAGCACAATGTCGCCTTTGTTCCCCGAGGCTCCCTGTAGCGCAGCCCCTCCTGGCTGGAGGATCCGGACACCAGAGACTGCCATCTGCCATTCCGGGCGTTGGGGGGGGGTCTCTGAGGCAGGCTCGGGGGGTGGGCCCCGGGACCAGGCCCCCGGTGCCACTCTGGACACGGGAATGGGACCCTCTGTTGGGCTGACCCGTGGGAGAGGGTGGGAGGGCACATCTGCATCATGACGCTTCTCCATTTCAGAAAGTGGGACCCCAAGGCCCTCCGGGCCCCCAAGGGCCACCTGGGAAGCCGGGCAAGGACGGAATTGATGTGAGTTTGGGGGTAGGGAGGGCTCCGTGGGGTTCAAGTCTGGCCCCAACCTCCCTGAGTCCCCAGACCTGATGGAGACGAAACTAAGTCCACTGATCAGGGCTGGGTCACAGCGGGGTGTGGGATGGCAAAAGGGACAAAGACGGTCCTTGGTCCAGCACAGGGTTCACCCGCAGGGGTCAGTCCCCAGAGCAGGTGGGGGGAGTGCACGGTGGTCTGTGGCCTGGGAATGTGGGCACTGATGTGTGTGGCTCCGGGTCCCCAGAGGGGTCCTTGCTCCTGTATCCTCAGGGCCTGGGGGTGGAGGGGTGGGGCTGTTCCCCTGAGGGTCTTTTTGGAGGCTGCTGAGGGCTGGAGCCAGCTCTGCTGGGGGCGGGGGGCGGGAGCTGGCTCTGCCCCGGAGAAGCTGTCTTCAGGGGTGTCCCAGGTCAAGCGTGGCCTAATCGGTGCGGGGAGGCAGCTGAAATCCCATGGCCAACCTCCCCTAGGACCGTCTTGGGTGACCCCCCCATCCAGCCACCTCCAGGAAAGGCAGGGACCTGCCCCAGGATCCCCTCGCCCATAATGTACCGCAGGAGCCCCCCTTGACCAATCCTCAGGCTCTTTCTGAGTCCCCAAAGCCCTAGATGGCCCAGAGTCTCAAATTGAATCAGTACCCACCCTGGCTGACCGCGCCCCGCAGGGTGGGGGAGGGGCGAGGCAGGGTGGCCACATTGGACCCTGGACCCAGGCGGCCCAGGGATGCCCCCCCCCCCCGAGCCCCAGGTTGACGGGATTCGTGTTGTTTCTTCTGGGGAGGATTCTGCCTAAAACCCTGGCCTGGAAGCCTCACTCCAAGGGTCTCAGGGCTCGTAGTCACGGGGGTGGGGTCCCCCCTGGGCCCCTGCAAGTCTGAGGGGCTGTGGCCCACCTTCTGAGGCTTTTCAGGCTGCTGGAGGGGTGGGGCTTTGTTTTGGGGGGTCGTGGCCGAGAGGAGGGGCCCCCTAGGTGTGGATGAGGTCGGGTGCAGGGGAGTCCCATGCTGTCTCTTGGATCTCTGCTCCCCTGGGCTGGGATCTTCAGGGGATGCTTGGTCACATGTGGGTGCCTTCCCCTCTGCAGGGAGAAGCTGGGCCTCCCGGTCTGCCAGGGTCCCCGGTGAGTGTCCAGCTACGGTGGGGGGAGGGGTGGAGCTAGAACAGAGGGGTTATTGACACCCCCTTCCCACCACACTGGGCCCTGGGTTGCCCTCCAGGCAGGAGGCGGGAAGGGGGCGGGGAGGGGGCGGGAGGGGAGCGGGTGGGACTCTGTGTGTCGCTGGGTGGGGGCTGGCTTTGAGACTTTCTTTGGGCTGGTGCCAGGCAGGCCGGGTTGCCACAGCGGTTTAGGGGGCCCTGAGCTTTGACAGAGCTTTCAGGCCCAGGAATTGAGCGTCCTGGGGCACCCCGGGGTGCCCACAGAGGGACCCAATTGCCCTTAGCTGGGCGGCCAAAGCATAAGGCGAACGAAGCATCCAGGTGAATGTCCTACAGAGGTGATTGAGTAGGTGGGGGGAGGGGAGGGCAGCCTGCTGGGGCCAATGAGGTGGGCGGCCGAGCCCCAGCTGGGGGTGCGTCTTCGGGGAAGCAGGCAGCTGGGCCTCTGGTGGAGAAGAACCGGCCTCTGATTGCTGGGCGGCGCCCCAGCTGCAGAACACAAGCCTTATTGGTGAAGGCCAAGGCCCTGGGCTGGACCTGCCCTCATCTGCCCTCCCCCTCCTTCCTCCAGGGACCAAAAGGGGCCCCAGGGAAGCCAGGGAAACCAGGGGAGGCTGGGCTCCCAGGACTGCCCGGTGTGGACGTGAGTGTGCCCGCCCCTTTCTCCCCCTCCCCCCCCCCCCCCCCCCCCCCCCCCCCCCCCCCGAGCCAGTACCTGGAGGGGTTGTATCCCAGGAGTCAAGTTTAATTGTGGTTCTCCCGCTGGGCCTGCTTGGTCTCAAGAGTCTCCGGACGTCCCCCAGCGGGGGGCCCTTGGCCTGCGTCCCAGACCCCTCAGCCCTGGCGGCTGGCAGAGGACAGAGCCCTCGCTCGCTCGCGGCAGGGGTGAAAATGCTCCCAGCTCTTGTCTGTCTGGGTATCTGGGCCCCTCTGAGCCCCAAGCTGGCCACGTTTGTCCTCAGGGCTCACGGCCTTGGCCTTGGGGGCTCTGAGAAGGGACTTCTCCCGCCTGCTGGGCTTAGCAGCTCCTCACCTCCCTGGAGCCCCTGGGCACTCCGGGAGAGGAAGGGGCCCCATGCAGGGTTCTTTCCAATCCCTGGACCATTTTAGTTCAGAGGGTGCCCTCTGGGGGAGAGGAGCCACCCCCCCAGTGTGACCCCTGAGCCCCCCGCCTCTCTCCCCAGGGCCTCACAGGGCAGGACGGACCACCTGGCCCCAAGGGCGCTCCTGGAGAACGGGTCAGTGCCTGCCCCGAGTTGAATGGGTTCCGCTCAGGAGTGAGGTCCCCAACCAGGGGGATGGGGCGGAGCACTGTCCACAAGGCTGGCTGCCCCGAGGGCAGCTGGGATGTCCCAGGACTGGGCTGGTTGGGCCCTGAGGGTGCGGTGAGGTAGAGGCCACAGAAGGGCAGGTGGCAGGGGGTGGCGGGTGGGCAGCCCACCGGCCCGCACACCAGCCCTGCTGGAGGCCATCCCAGCATTCAGACCTCGCAGGGGATCACCAGCCTTACGGGCCACCTCCTCCTGGGAAGAGGGACCGGTGAGGACGGCTGGCTCCAGGCTTTCTGTAGGAGCCTCCGGTGGGAGCGCCCTCCGGGCCAGCCCTGTGTCTTCAGGGTGCAGGGGGGCAGCAGGAAAGGGCAGACAGGGCCTGGCTGCCCAGGCTTCTGGGCTCCGTCTTGTGGGCTGAGGCCAAAGCTCTCAGCGACCTGAGAGTGGGGGGCTTGCCCAGAAGGCTTACACAGGCCTGGGGCACTTGTGTGTGGCTCAGGTCAGCCCTAGCGCTGGGCCTTCCTGGGGGGGTGCCTTGCCTGCTCTGGGCTGCTTCCTGCGTTCATTTCCAATAGTCTGGATGGATTTTTCTCACCAGGATTATTGGCAAAAGAACTGTCCCCGGCCACTGGGCCTCCGAGGTCCCCCCGCGGCCTCAATCTTCTATAAAACAGAGAGCCCTCCTTCAGAGCCGGGGAGGGGGACAGGTTTGCACACACAGTCCTGGGTGCCTGGGCTCAACCCACTTCTGACACTCTTTCCTTCTGCAGGGAAGTCTGGGCCCCCCAGGACCCCCTGGGCTGGGGGTGAGTATCGCTTCCCCCTCGCAGTGGGACTCTGAGTGGCTGAGGGTCTGACGGGGGCGGGGTGCCCTCCGGGAGCCCTGAGAGGCATGTCCAGCCCTATGGCCTGCTCTCCCTCCAGGACTTGGCTCCTGGGCCGGGTCCTGGGCCACTATCTGGGCTGTGCCTGTGCCCTCTCTGCCCCAGGGAGGGCCTCCTGCACCAAGAGTCTGGGGTCCCCCTCCTCCAGCCCACCTATCTTATGGGAGGGGGGAGGGGGGCGGGCAAGCGGGCTCCGTCCCCAGCACGTTCTGACCCCATGCTTGGCACTGCAGGGCAAAGGCCTCCCCGGACCCCCGGTGAGTACTGACCCCCCCCCCCCGTGGCCCCACCCAAGCACGCCCGCCACACTCAGAGCCAGGCTGGCTGCCGCGTCCCAAACGGGCTCCCCGCCCCCCCCCCACCCGAGTTCCCGTCCCTCGGGACAGGGCAGACCAGCCCTGTGGGGGGTCCTCAGAGCTTTGTGGACTTGCGGGGGTCTACACCTGTTTCTTACTTCCTCCCCGCCCTCCCCCCACAGGGAGAGGCGGGAGTGAGTGGCGTCCCTGGTGGAGCTGGCCTCCGGGGCCCCCCGGTGAGTGACTGGCCCTGACCCTCCCCCCTGCTCCGAGAAAGACCCTGCCCACTGGGACACCCCCAATTCAACCCCCAGGGGCTTCCTCCCCCCTCTGCTCATTTCCTTCCCCCCCTCTTCCAGCCTCACTCCTTCCACCCTCCTCCTCCCCCATTTCCTTTCTCATGGCCTTGATGGAAACCCCGGGTGACATTCAGGGACAAGGACAGGCTAGGCCTCGAGATGCGCTGTGGACACGTGCACGGACTGGGAGGATGGGCAGGCAGTGTGGGAGTGTCCCCATGAGGGCACAGGGTGGTGGAGGCTGGTCCCACTCTACCTAATGTCATAACCCTCCCCCCCCACCCAGGGACCCTCTGGACTTCCGGGCCTCCCTGGCCCCCCAGGACCTCCTGGAGCCCCTGTAAGTACTGGGCAGGGGACCCCAGAGCTTCTCTGAGGTCGTGCCAGGCACTGATGACGCGGCTCTCCTGTCCCCAGGGCCCCCAGCCACACCCATGGTGACTCCCATGCATTTCCCAGACACGGGCCGAGCCCAGGGCCCACGTGGCAGCCGGTGGACAGCCTGACCTGGGACAGGCAGGGCGTAGGCCCAGGGGCCACCCACTCCCAAGGGCAGGTGGTTTCTGTCCTTAGTGCCCCACACTGGCCATGTGGGGGATGAAGGGCCCGAGTCCCCTGGTCCCGGAGTGCTGGGTGGCAGGAAGCGGGGGGGACACCGGTGTCCAAGTCGGCTGTCTTTGTGTCCCAGGGTCACCCAGGGGTCCTCCCTGAAGGTGCTACTGACCTGCAGGTAGGTAGTCGCCGCCATTTGTGAAGGGGGCTAGGGTGCCTGTCTTGGGGGGAGGGGGCACCGGCGCAGCCCACTGCCTCGGGGACCCCGTGGCCTGTTCCCTACCCATGGGTCCGTGTGGGTGGCACCAGCTCTGAGCACAGCCTCAGCACGCCAACTCCGCCCACTGCCTGGCTGTGCACGACCCCGCCGCCCCCCCCCGCCCTCTCAGCACCCCCACACACACCCCTCTGCTCCTCCTCCCCTCCCCTGCTCGCAGCAGTGTGAATGGGAATCTTAAGTGAAACAGAAGCAAATTGTAGACACCAGCTGGTCCCTGGCACAGCTGGGCTCTGAGCACTCAGTCACACTCGGCCAGTGTCGGCTGAACCGGGTGGCCCCGAGGGTTTCCCCAGCAGAGAAGGCTCCGGACTGCCTCTGGGACTCATATCTGTGAGCTTTGTCACTGCTGTGAAAAGCAAGACCCAGTCTGGGGCAGCCCCAGGCCTTTCTCCGCTGTGCGTCTGGTGCTCCTGAAGGAAAACCCTCTGCTGCCAGTGCTCTCGGCTCCACCCTCCCCCCGCCCCCCCCCCCCCGCTTGGTGTCCAGAGTATGTGACTAAGGGTGTCCCAGAGGAAGGGTTTAGGGATCTTCCGGAATCAGGAGAATGGCTGGGTCCCTGGCCGTGGGCCAGGCCAGAGCATCTGGGACAGAGCTCGACGGCCCTGGCTCTGTACCAGACGAGCTGCGGAATGATCTAGGAAACCCAGAGCCATCCCTTGGGGTTACCGCGCCCTGGGCGGGGAGCGTCCCATCTGTGTCAGCGGGACCCCCATCCGTTCTGAGAGCACACTTGTGCACTGACGAGAGCTTGGCCCAGGAACACAGGATGAAGGCCCCTTTTTTATTTTTTTAACGTTTATCCATTTTTGAGAGACAGAGTGTGACTGGGGGAGGCGCAGAGAGAGGGACACACAGAATCTGAAGCAGCTCCAGGCTCTGAGCTGTCGCACAGAGCCTCACACAGGGCTTGAACCCACGAACTGTGAGATCATGTCCTGAGCCGAAGTCGGACGCTGAACCGACAGAGCCACCCAGGCGCCCCAATGAAGGCCACTTTGTGAAGCCAGCAGCCACTGTGCTGAGCATCGGGAAAGGGGAGCTGGCTCCCAGTTCAAGTCCGCGAGGGGCCAGGCAGCCGAAATTCGGCTCTGTGCTGCACCCCACAGCCATACTGAGTGAGGACCCGTCCGGGCTCCCTGGGAGGCCCTGGTGTGGCCTGAGGTCCCTTCACTCATGTGGAATGGCCCGTCTCAGGGCTCCTGGGTGGGGACTTCAGCCTCGGTCCCGCTCTGACCACTCTGCTTTCCAACAGTGCCCAGCCATCTGCCCACCAGGCCCTCCCGGGCCCCCAGGAATGCCAGGGTTCAAGGTGAGCGGCAGCCATAGGGTGACTCAGACCTGAGCCCACCACCGCGGCCCACAGGAGGGCCTTAAAGGGGAGTCAGGGGGAGATGGGGTTCCAGAAAGCCCACCCTGGCTGTTCCAGGAAGAAAGGAGGGCTGGCATCCGACCCAGCCTGGGGCCTTGATCGGGCTGGGCACTGCCGGGTGTGACACTGGGACTGGCGGCCTTGAGGGCACTGCAGTCAGGGAAGCTGGCGTCGGCCCAGCCCTGCCCCTCTTGACCGGACCTCAGTTTCCCCACCGGGGCTGGCAGCCACGCGGGCCTCTGTTCAGGGCTGCTTGGGGTGGGCTGTGACTCCTCGCCCACCGCTTGCTTTCAGGGGCCCACTGGCTACAAAGGGGAGCAAGGAGAGGTCGGCAAGGACGGCGAGAAGGTGAATATGGGCCAGGGCAGGGCTGCCAGCCTGGGCGGCGGTGGCAGGGAGGGGAGGGGGCCTGCGGGGTGGGGGCTGGGGCCCCACCGGTGGTGGGTGAGTGAGGGGGTGCTGACTGCATCTGGGGTGCACTCTGCACGCCTCCTCTGTGGGGCCTGGCTGGTCAGAGCCAAGCGATTCAGGGCAGGGTCTCTGGACAGACCCCCACCTGCCTGGTCTCCCACGGAAGTTCCCTGAGCTCAGGCGGCCCCACTGGTGGCTGGAGAGGTCTCCTGGAGGTCCCTGCCACCTCCCCCTGTGGCCTCTGCCCAAGGAGAATGTGGGTTTGCCCTTACCCACAGGCTACAGGTGAGGCTGGTCCATGTCTAGTGTGGTGAGGCCACCACACGGGCAGCAGACGTGCCCACACCAGCCAGGCAGAGGTGTCTGGGAAACGCTGGGGGCCTTGCTGGAGCAGAAACCATGGAGACATTGCCCCCCGCCTCCCAGAGCAGGGCCAGTACCCTCTCAGCCTCAGAGGCTCAGCTGTGAATGGGGCTACGGCCCCCAGTGTATGGGCTCGGGGTGGGGGGTGACCACTGGGCTTGGACAGGTGCTGGGAGAGCTCACTGCCCCTCACCTCCATTGCAGGGTGATCCCGGCCCCCCTGGGCCCGCTGGCATCCCAGGCACCGTGGGGCTGCAGGTGAGTAGGGGAAGGGGCCGGATGTGGATGGGGATGTGGGGTCAGAGCCCCTTGGACTGCTTAGGGCTGCAGGGGACAGTCCACCGACACCCATAAGAGGGACCAGCCCAGGTCCTGCCCCTGCCGCACTGCAGATCCTAGGGATTGTGGCCCCCCCCCCACCCCAGGGCCTGGCCTGAGGTCAGGTGCTTTGAGGGAAGACCCAGGGTATGTGCAGGCCTGGGGGGCCTTGCCTTTCCAGCTTTCTTCTTACAGGGGCCTCGCGGACTTCGAGGTCTGCCGGGGCCAGCCGGGCCCCCTGGGGATCGGGTAAGTCAGCCCCACATCACATGGAGAGGGGCCGTAGGGAAGTGGGATGGAGGCCTTGGAAATGGGGGAAGGGGGGCAGCTTGGGACCCCTGGGTGGCCGGCCAGGGAGGGGCCTGCTGGGGGTGTTTCGTTGGGGGGGTTTGGTTGGGGGTGCCTGAGGCAGGGTCTCTCTGGCTGGAGCCCGGTCCGCGGAGGGCTGCCGGCTGGCCTCCAGAGGAGATGCCCCCGATGGCCCCCCACCTCCTTTACAGGGTCCCCTTGGATTCCGAGGGCCGCCAGGGATCCCCGGAGCTCCTGGGAAAGTGGTGCGTGTGTGTCTGGGGGTGGGGGGTGGCTCCCCGCAGGCTTAGGCTCCCTGTACCCTTCCCCTTCCTCACTCAGACACCTCCCTCAGTGCCCTGGACTGCGCCGTGCTGGCCCTTCTGGGAGTGGAGTCCTCTTGTGGGCACGCACCCTGGGCACACCTGGGGGCGGGGGGGGCACACCTGGGAGCGGGGGGGCACACCCGGGGGGGG